TAGTACGTCAACCACTTTTTCAGAAGTCGGTAAATGCCGGTCTTTGAAGATTCGAGATATCTTGCTTATTTAACAAGCGGTATCACGTCTCCAGGCTCAGCCAGTACCTATACTTGCAAGATAGAGATGGTCCATAACCCGGTGGGAAATAATCAGCAGTACTTGGTTGCCCTTCTCACAATGGGGCCTATGGGGAGACCCGGGGAGAACAAGCCGGAGTACAAGCCGGAGAACAGCAAGTTTTTAGCAAAGTTAGTCCAAATTTAGTCGAAAAATTTACGTGTTTTGGTATCGCCCAGATACGGGCCTTCCTCAGAGGGTGCTGGAATGGCATGATATGCCTTAGAATGAGAAATATCTATAGATTTGCAGTGACAGTCACTGCATTATCTCGGCGTTGTCTTGCGCCACCAGAAGATAATATGTATTTGTAGGTGGAAAATAGCAACTTGAAATGCATGACTGTAAAGCTCTATGATTTTTGTACCACAAACTGAACAATTTGTGTTGGTGCAACTGCATAAATGGCTTTTCTTAGACTATTCATCACAGCCTGTCATTTCAGGACCGACCCGTGGTACTTTGTACTTGGTTGGCCCATTGACGAGTGCTAGAATGCCATCACAATGTCTGTGAATGCGCCAGAACTCCTGTGCATGGTTTGGTTGTCTGTCTTCATGTGGTGGGAGTGAGGAGGGCGGAGGGTGAGTGAAGCTGCTTGGGATTATGTGCATCGTAGCTGCGAGTTTGAGGTATTCAGTGAGGCAAAGTGGAATTGGTTGTCTTCAATTTTCACACAGCATGCATCCACACTTCTAAAGTTACTTGGGATTTAGTTTTGGACCGCTATTAAGTTCATTCCAAAAAATGTAAATAAATACCGGGGGACTGATCTATAAATGTTTACCACTGCAGGCTGATGCAGAATCACCTTGGTATAACCTGCTCTACCTACAGCATAGTGGGTAGGTACGTAGGTACTAAGGTATCTGTATACAACATTAATGCTAGGTCGTGGGTTTCCCATGTGGGATCAAATATGAGGCTGGCCTCTTTTCAGCCTGTGGTTATAATTGCTGTAACCGGGCAGGTGGCAATGCTGCCATGTTCCTTGCTGTCAGGCATAAGGTCCTGCAGTGACACTATTAAAATTTCTCTGCATATGATCATAGGGAACTTGGAGAAGAGGAGAGGGATAACAGGAGGTGCAGGAAAAGAGGAGGAGCAGAAGTGGAGGAGGAGTGGAAGGAGAAGAGTGACAGACAGAGAAGCTGAGGAACTGAAAGAGGAGAAGATCAGAAAGAGAAGGATAGGAAGAGGAACACTTTTGGTATGTTTATATTAATTATGTAAAGGCCAAAAGGACCACATGTTATTGATGTCACATACATAAGGCTTTCATAGTCAGTTGCAGCTGCCTAAGACTCATTAAAAAACCAGGGTGTGATGCACAGTGGTTGTCCGCAATGCAGTTTGTCAGTAAGCAGAGGATGCACCTGATTTATCATTTTGATATTGTGTAAGCTTGCATGTAGATAGGTAATGCTAAGTAACTGAGCTTTGTATGATGCACCTGTGAATGCATATGCATAAAGTTTGTTGTTAACCTCTCTAACTCTATATTTTTTATAAACATGTACCATCAATCAATCTGTGCATGTATAGGTGAGCTAGTAGCACTACAGGGATATGGATGGGATCAGTGTGGCACCCTCGCTCACAGAAAAGTGCTCTGTTCCACTTGAAATGCAAAATTGCATGCTGACACTAATTTTTGCCAGAAAAACATTGGGAAAATGTTGACCCATTAAAGGCAGTATGTGATGTACTCCAAGCAAGGCCCATTGTGCAGACACTCATTTCACATTAGACCGACCTTTGCTTGCAGGCAAGTTTGTACTCCGACCACAACAATTTTTGTACTCCGCCACCAGCAAAAAAAAAACAATTAAATTTCCCACACTGTTCCAAACAGCATTTATGTTCTCTGAAATCGCACCTATCACCGCAATCCGCGTGCCGGGGCCAAGAAGCGCCTTCCTCACAGCTTTCTTCTCATCAGCCCAGCCGATATATATCCGATATATATCACACCCCAGCCGATATATATCCGACCGTGCGAAGAAGTCTTCCAGCTCTTCTCCATCACCCGCGCGAATTTCGCCCCTGGACTCATTTTCGCATGCTCCCTTCCGCCGTCACGCGCTGTGACAAACACGCGCTCTCGCCGGCGTCAGAAAACGGCCGTCCCGGTGGACCGTTGACCGTGGCGGCCGGCCGGCCCACGCCTCGGCGGGTGGCCGCAGAGGCGGAGCCCAGGTAAGCCCATTAGTAATTCGCTATATTGGTAAACGAACTAGTAACGCACCATTACCACAATCTTGTGACGGGTCTTGCTTGTTAACTTCCCAACGCCTGTGGGTTGGTTTCATCGTATCTCATGCCTGCCTCAATATTTTCAAGTGTGGAGGATTGCTTTTAAATGGTCGATAGCTCAGCATAACCTTAGACTCATATGTGACCACTGAAATTTGTTTTTTTAACTCCTGTCGTTATTTTAATTTCATTACTTCAAATACACATTGTTGCTTTGTGAGTTAGAAAAATGCAAGAACAAGATATCCGTCATGATCGTTCACATCGCCTGAAGCAGATTGGTGAGCTTGAGAAAGCTGAAAAGAAGGTCGAGCAATTGTGAATGGTCGTCACTAAGAAATATCTTTGAGAGAATCTGATGCTGCGCCAAAGAAAATGGCTCTCCACGACATTTCGCTATTGCTTGAACTTGTCGCACTCCATAGCAATGTTCGCCCCAAAGTGGATAATCGCACGGCTGCGAGCAGGGACGAGGGCGATGCAAATATGTGTGATTTTGGATGAGTATATACTGTGTCCAGCTCGCAGACAAGCCAATATCTTCTTCCCCCCAAACGGTTTTTACGATACATTGATGGCTTAAGTGTCATATCAGAATTGATGCCATGAAGCTGCGTTCTAGTGTTGTTTGTCCATTGTCGTGGCCAAAAATGTGTTATCGTTGTCCGAGTTGAAGACTAATATATTTAGAGTGAACGGAACTTTATGTGATGTGAAAGGACAAAGTCTTCTTGAGCCAGTAGACCAGCCTGTTTATCCCCATAATGCTTCTATAGCCTTGAATCCACGGAAAATGGATTACCAAATTTAATGGCTCATGTCATGTCTTGTGACCGTAATATATGGCATATGCAAATAATATATGCATGTCCTGTGAGAGCAATATGTGATGCAGATTGATGATGTGGACAAGGAAGTGGGGAGTAACATCTGAGTAGTAAAGCGATTTTACATCTGCCTTGTAACCCGGATTGGATCGCAATTGTGCTCGGAGAATGAATGTGTTGCTGACGGTGTTGAAACGCAAGAACAAGCGCAAGCAACTCTACCATGTAAATGGAGGTGCCATTTGATAACCGACAGTTTTTTAAAGCAATTTCGTAATAAATTACTGAACATTCAGAGTGGTCATCAAACCTAGAACCATCGGTGTACATAACACAGTTATTTGGATGAATGACAATTGGATTATTTAACGTTTGTTAAATATAAGCTGTTGTGACGAACACTTTGAGATCTTTAGGAAGGTGCTCGAATATAATTAATAGTGCTACAATACACTGAGTTTGTTTGTCGTTTGTTTACGAGTCTAGGGCACTTTTGTTACACATCGCAAAATGTATTATTTTCGTCCGATAGTTAGAATCATAACGTGAGCGTCCATTCCGAACGCTGAAATTGGAGACGTACGCAATATTCCTTGCGTAATCCGCAATAACGTGTTTTTGATGGTAGCCAGAGGCCAAAGAGCGTGCTCATTGCTCCCCTGCTTATGCCATGGAGCCGTATTTAATGATAAAAGCCAAAAATGTATGTAAACGTACTTAAGTATGGCGGTCGGTGCCGTGCAGTGACCCAGAGATGCGGCGGACGAAACTCAGTGTTTTGAAGCGTTTGGAACAGACATGCTTCACGCGCATTGGCATTGAATCTTAGGGCAAGTGCCATACCGATTAGCTTAAAAATAAAACAAAAAGAGTATAATCTGATCCAACAATAACTGAAAAGTGCATAAAATGTGGCATAATCCCGAAAATGCAAATGACGTTTGCCACAGCAGGATCAGATAAATTCACATGATGAAAACGCAAGCATACTTTTGTGAGAGCCGCATAACTCCAGGAAATCATTTTATTAAAATGCGGCCGCAGTAAAATTCCTTCCCGCTCGTGGAATTTCACCTCCCCGGAGAAAACAATGTTGAAGTAGCCAAATAATCTTGGTCAGCTGGAAAGCCGTATTTGCCGAATGACAAAGGTGAGTCGAACGGGTAAGATTGTGCATCAGTGAGAAACAGCCGTATATGTACATCTAGCATTGCAGCCATGACATTTCATCACTTTCAAAATATGTTACGTGGATTATTAGTGGACAAGACCTCCGCACCTACACCCCCCCCCCCCCTTTGTGTCACCGGATTTGCTTCCCAGCAAAAGTTCCTGAATACACCCTGAGCCTGGCACCCACTTGTGGGCACCCAACATCCTGTGTAATCATGACCCAGCTTAACCATCACATTAAGCTAAACTTCTCTGCGGCGGGGGTGTGCCAGGCCATTCCATACGATTCGTCAGGACAGCCTGCGGCACTGGGCGCCACTCGTTCACTGGGAACCTGACCGTGGCCGTCTACCAGTGGTTAGCGGCGACCTATAAAAGCGAAAGCAACGCGAAAGCGGGCACCACTTGCACTGCACACCAGGCCATCAGAACACACCATGCAGGTGAGGGCTTGAATGATGCGGTTGGTATGGTCTCCTGCTGGCTGCTGGAACGATTATTTTTTAGCGAAGTGAAATGCAGTTAAAGAATGGAGAAATGTGTTACATGGGTACCGAGGTTATCAGATTGATCCAGCAAAACATGCACTTTTAAAATGGCTGCCGCTTCCGTGAAAAGCCCCCTATGTCATTGCAGGGTTTCATCGTTGCCGCCGTGCTGGCTGTTGCCGCCGCCGCCCCAGCGCCGGAGACGCCGGGCTACAAGCCCGCTCCGGTCCCCTACCACCCGGCCCCCTCCTACAAGCCGGCCTCTTACCACCCGGAGCCCCAGTACAAGGAGGAGGTCAAGCCGTTCGCTTACGAGTACGCCGTCAACGACGACTACACCGGTACCATCTTCGCCAAGAGGGAGGAGAGCGATGGCCACAACACACAGGGATATTACTCGGTGGCTCTGCCCGACGGCCGTATCCAGCACGTCAACTACGTCGTCGACAACTACGGCGACTACAGCGCTGAGGTCACCTACGAGGGAGAGGCCCATTACCCCGAGTACCACCCCGCCCCTGCCTACAAGACTGCTGCCCCGGCTTACAAGCCTACCTACAACCATCCCGCTCCTGCCTACAAGCCTGTCCACAAACCCGTTTACAGCTCTCCCGCTCCGGCCCACAAGCCTGTCCACAATGTTGGCTACAGCCATCCTGCCCCTGCCTACAAGGTCGCTGTTCCGGCCTACAAGCCTATCCACAAGCCCGTTTACAGCTCTCCCGCTCCGGCCCACAAGCCTGTCCACAAGTCTGGCTACAGCCATCCAGCCCCTGCCTACAAGGTTGCTGTTCCGGCCTACAAGCCTGTCCACAAGCCCGTTTACAGCTCTCCCGCTCCGGCCCACAAGCCTGTCCACAATTCTGGCTACAGCCATCCCGCCCCTGCCTACAAGGTTGCTGCTCCGGCCTATGAGCCTGTCCACAAGACCGTATACAGCTCTCTCGCCCCGGCTTTCAAGCCAGTGACGTACTAGTCACGGGGTGAGAACGGTTCCTGATGTTATTTTCTTACTGTGTAGGTTACGGCACTTGTCGCTTCCTCACCAGCTGCATTGTAATAAAATGATTTGTTCGAGTTATGCGGCTCTGACAAAAGTATTCTTGCGTTTCCAGCATGCGAATTTATCTGATGCGGCTGTGGCAAACGTCATTTGCACTTTCGGGAGTATGTCACATTTTGTGCACTTTTCAGTTATTGTTGGATCAGATTTTACTCTTTTTGTTCTATTTTTTAAGCTAATCGGTACCGCACTTGCCCAAAGATTCAGTGCCAACGTGCGTGGAGCATGTTCGTTTCAAACGTTTCAAAACACTGAATTTCGTCCGCCGCATCTCTGGTTCACGGTACGGTGCCGACGGCCACACTTCAGTACTTTTACATACATTTTTGGCTCTTATCATTAAGTACGGCTCCATGGCTTATGCAGGAGAGCAATGAGCACGCTCTTCGGCCGCTGGCTACCATCCAAAACACGATATTGCGGATTATACAAGGAGTATTGCGTGCGTCTCCAATTTCAGCGCTTGGAATGAACGCCCACGTTATGCTCTTAGCCATCCGACGCAAGGTATACATTTTGCGATGCGTGACAAAAGTGCCGCAGACTCGCAAACAAACAAACAACAAACAAACTCAGTCTATTGCAGCACTATTAGTTATTTTCAAACACGTTCCTAAAGATCTCAAACTGCTCGTCACAACAGCTTATATTTAACAAACGTTGAATAATACAACTGTCAATCATTCAAATAACTGTATTTTGTAAACCGTTGGTTCTAGGTGTAGTGACCATCCTGAATGTTCAGTAATTTATTGCGAAGGTTGGTTTAAAAACTGACGGTTATTGAATGGCACCTTCGTTTACTCCGCAGAGCTGCTTGCTCTTCTTCTTACGTTTCAACACCGTCATCAACACCTTCATCCTCTGAGCGCAAATGCGATCTGTTCGGGTTACAAGGCAGATGTAAAGTCGCCTAGCTGCCCAGACATTACCACCCACTTCCTTGTCCACATAATCAATCTGCATCATATATTACTCTCACAGGGCATGCATATTTACTTACATATCATATGTTATATTCACAAGACATGACATTAGTCATTAATTTTGGTAACCGATTTTCTGTGGATTCCAGGTTATAGTAGCATCATGGGATTGAAGTAGGCAAGCCCATTGGCTCAAGAAGCTTTGGTCCTTTCACATCACATAAATTTCCGTTCATTCTAAATATATTCGTCTTTAACTCGGACAACGATAACACATTTTTGACTACGACAATGGACAAACAACACCAGAACGCAGCTTCATGGCAAAAGTTCCGACATGACACTTGCATCGCCTTATACTTGGCCATCGATGTATCATAAAAACCGTTTGAAGGAAGAGTTGGCTTTTCTGCGAGCTGGACACAGTATATACTCATCCAAAATCACACATATTTTGCATCGCCCCCGTCCCTGCTCGCAGCCGTGCGATTATCCACTTTGAGGCTAACATTGCTATGGAGTGCAACAAGTTCAAGCAATAGCGAAATGTCGTGGAGAGCCATTTTCTTTGGCGCAGCATCAGATTCTCTTAAAGATCTTTCTTGGTGACGACCATTCACAATTGCTCCATCTACTTTTCAGCTTCCTCAAGCTCACCAATCCGCTTGAGGCGATGTGAACGATCATAACGGATATCTCCTTCTTGCATGTTTTTTTTTTTAACTCACGAAGCAACAACGTGTTTTTGAAATAACGAAATTGAAACAACGACAGAGATTAAAACAAATTTTCATGGTCATATGACTGTAAAGTTATGCTGAGTTATCGACCATTGAAACGCAATGCTCCACAATTAAAAATATTGAAGCAGGCATCAGATACGATGAACCAACTCACAGGCAGTGGGAAGTTAACAAGCAAGAACATCACAACATTGCGATAGTGGTACGTTACTAGTACGCTTACCAATATGCGAATTACTAATGGGCTTACCTGGGCTCGCCTCTGCGGCCACCCGCCGGAGGCGTGGGCCGGCCGGCCGCCACGGTCAACGGTCACCGGGACGGCCGTTTTCTGACGCCGGCGAGAGCCCGTGTTTGTCACGGCGCGTGACACTGAGTGGGGGCATGCGAAATTGAGTCCAGGGTGAGATTCGCGTGGGTTGGTGGAGAAGAGGTGGAAGACTTCTTCTGACGGTTGTATACATATCGGCTGGGGGTGGGGGATGAGACGACATCTTGGGGGAAGGTGCTTCTTGGCCCCGGCATGCGGATTGCGGTGATGGATGCGCTTTCAGAAGAGGACAGAAATGCTGTTTGGAACCTGAAGTCAGTGCTGCGTCGGGAATTTGGTCCGCACTATAGCTGAAATTGTTGAATACAGGCTCTGGTACGGAAGTAGTTCTGGTGCAGTGCGCTTGCTTGATCACCGACGCATGCAACGCTCCGAGACATAAGGTACGTTTCTTTCCAACTTTGATTTTTGTTTGGCGGTGCGTCCCCTGGCTCGGGGCCTGACACGTCTGTTGGAGCCGCTCTCTTGAGTCGGTTTTGCCGTCACTCCGTCCGACGTGGCAGCGCAGTTGCGTCTGTTGTACTGCACCATTCATGTCCTGGCGTGGGCCGTGTCTGAAGGCAGCACAAAGTGAGGATGAGTCAGACCTGGCTGTAACACCAGGCGTCGGCACTCACCCTATCTGAACGGCGGACGGCAAAGCGTTCGTCGGATCGCCTCTCGACAGCGTCTCCCACCTGGTGCGGCCGCACCGAGCCACTCCGAGCACCGTCGGTGGCCGGCGGCGGGCACGGACCGCGCCGCGACGGCGTCGGCGGCCACGCAGGCAGCGCGCGCCCGCTCCCCGTCCCCTGTCTCGCGGAAGGGAGAAGCGGTATGTGACCTCTCGGTCGGTCACGCTGGAGCAGATCGCTGCACTTGGCCGTTTCGGCGCCGCTATGATTCTGTTCACACCAGCAGACAATGGGAGCTCACAGCTGCACGGCAAAAGCTGTGTGATTACTCATTGCCGCCTGCAGGGAGGTCGGCGCCGGGAGAGGGTGTTATAGCCGCCGTGGTCTCGGAGTACCGTCATCATGGTCTGCAGCGGAACAAGGAACTGACGCGTCCGCGACGAACCGGGAATAAAATGAAGTTATGTCACTTATAACTATTGATCTGCTTATAAGTGGGAAGGATCCTCTAGGCAGCACAATTTCTCCATTTAGTAAACATGCTCCTTAATACGGCAGTGTTTGATTGCGTCATGGAACGTTTCTATGACGTTGTCGCGCCACCAAACTATCCGTCGAAATTTGCAGTTACTTGTAGTACTTCAAGCTCGGCAAGAGATGGCAGTACGGGCAATAATTGTCTAGCTAACCCATTGTCCTTCTGGGCTCGTCATATTAAGTTATTCGATTGCAAGTCCTAATTTTGTGATAGCTAGCCGGTAAAGAAACCACATCCAACTTCCTAAATTAAGAGGTACAAAGCGTGCTTTGCGATTGAAGCTTGTGCAGCTTGTAAGCTGTTCAGTGCATTTTCGAGTGACATTATTCACCTAGATAAGACAGTAGTAATAGCCTTATTCCCCGGAGAAATGCCGGAGAATAAAAATATCGATGGGTTGATATTTTGTCAACATGCCTTCATCGAAATATGAACCCATCTACATCTCTATTCTCCTGATTTTTCTCTGAGGAATGAGACTATTACTACTGCCTTATTCTGCGCAGCTAGCTTACAATTGTTTGAGAGCGAATTGACGTCCATTTTATTTGGAAACCGCGATCACGGACTGTAGACAGGTCCGAACGGCTGTACAATAATATTCTTCTTCGCCTTGACACCGCCTGGCCTGTGGGGCGGCAGGAATTGAATGACCATTTTATGACGTCATGCATGCCTGAATGGCTTTGAAATAGTCTGCACGAAAAAGTCTGCATATCTTCGCGGGCGTATAGCTCAGAAACCAGAGGTCTTTGGGTGCGGGCAGAAGGTCAGGGCCGCGAACTGCATCGAATAATCTATAAACAGCTATTTCAGCTAAGACCAGAAATGAAGATGGAACGCTCCCTTTAATATATCAAAATGTGATGGCTTAAAAACTTTTTCTGGCAGACATTGATTGCGTAAGCTGTAAAGTGCATTTGCGAGGAACATTTTACAAATAGATAAGACAGTATCATTAGCCTTGTTCTGCTTAGAGTGACCGGGACAAAGAAGATATAGGTGCATTGATATTTCAGCTACATGGGTGTATGGGAACAGACATTAGTAGTGAATTCAAAATTCCACGCTAATTCCATTTGATTTTTTTTTAAACAGCGAGTCAGATTTTTTACAACTCACCAACATTCAGTGTAAGGAGCATTGCCAACCATTATCGCGATGCAGTGTATATCCAACTTCGGATTAAAATGCGCGAAAAATATCTGCACGCAAACGAATTCAGATAAACAGGTATCATGCATCACACATCACTTATACATGCAAACAATTTCAAGTGAATAGGCCTCAAGCATCACGCATCAGACATCGCACATACATATTAACGATTGTAAGCTAGTACGCATCTAACGCACTACGCACAGTACGCACTAACACTTGGAAGATGATTTAGTACAGCTCGCATGCTGCCCCTTACACCCTTATCCACTCTATTTTCTGACCTATACGACCGCGATGATGTGCTCAGTATTTTGGGTGAAACTGTGTCGGGGTAGCCCGGGCATCCATGATATCATGATTTTTTTCCTTTCAGCTTGCTTTCCACTCCAGAAAAAACTTCGGGGTGTGGGTCAGCTTGACCTCCACCCGAGCGCGTGCGAATATATGGGTCAAAAATAGATCCGAAATGATAGCATGCATGTGCAATAGCTCAACACGCGGTTGGGTCGGAGCCACTTTGACCCCCCAAGGTTTTCCAGAATGGTTTTCGAGCGGCGCGGCAAACGGGTGCCACATTTTGCATAGCTGTGTTATATTGAATGGTAGATCGATTGCTATCAAATATTGAAATGCATTTAGATGGATGAGCAATGTATTATAGTGGGCTTTTCAGACTGGATCACTAGCTGGGCGGGGCGGGCTAGGCTGTGGGCTGATATACTGGAGAACCTTGCGTCTCTTATCCGTATGTTTGAGACCATGAGACCATAATCCTTCAGAAGGGCTGCGCGATGTTGGAGTCGTACAGCAGCATTTCCTCAACACATTTGTACATCATCTCAGCGCCACCAGTGAAGTCATCACGCTCGGTTTGCAGCTCTGCCTGGTCGTGTGATGCGTGTGAGGTGTGGGTTTCTTTCCGCGATGTGATGCCTAATTGGTGACGACTGGTGTTCCAAAAATCGTTTCCCACTCCATTTTAGTCCGGTGTATTTTCCGCACGCGTTTTCTGTCAACTCAAACTGGGGTCGGCTCGGCACCATGACTTTTGTGGAACTCATTGGCTGTGTGTCCCCGTGACGTGTGTGACGTACGCAGTGGCGGCCCGGACAACCCAGACAATTACGGTTGGGCTGAGTGCTGGGAACGTTGTGTCAGTCTCACACCTTTCTGCCTGGAACGGTCGTGGAGTTATTACAGAAAGGAACAAACGAGTTGTTCTTCATTCCAACCAGGTTATCGCGTGGTAGGAAAATTTGAAAAAATCAAGCACGTGATACCCGTTTTCCAGGGAATTTGGGCACTACCTTTCCCAAACAACTTGCTTGGGTAAGAAAAAAGTTAGACTAGGTACAAATCACTTGTCAGCGTAACCATCATGACGGCTTTTTTCTTACAACTGATAAAAAGGAGGCTCATCGCACCAAACGATCTAGGTGCCCGGAAACCAGGAGGAGCGGGGAACAAAGCCTCTCTTCCAAGTTTCTGAATATTTAGCATGGTTCCTCTTCCGTGATCTGACTAAAATGGCCCTCTCACCCACGCATCCGCATCC